CAGTAAAAGATTCAAATTAAACAAACAAAACCTCAGTGTCGTCGTTTGCACACAAAAATAAGTATCTACACTAATGGAAACTTATTTACAGCAATAAATACCTTAGAATTTTATTAATTTTGAACGCTATAGACTTACATCTATCGAAACACTTCAACAGCCGGCATGTCACGCGAGAATGAACACCGATGAGATCAGGATTTAATTTGACCTGGCATTTCTTGCAACCGGCTGTATCAAAGTGGCATGCACCCAATGTCATTCGATGCTCTCTATCGAAATTTCAAGTTGGGGCTACTACCTCTTCCATTTAACTTCCATTCTTCGTTTAGGAGGTAGTTAATAATATAGAATGGAAGCAAGCTTCTTACGAAGTTAACTTCCATTCTTCGTTTAACTTCATTCGTAAGTACTCGTACTTCCATCGTCCAGCACTGTCGTGGTTTAGCACTTTCCCGAAGCTTATAAAATTGCGCCGACCCCCTCATATGCGTCGACCCTCTTAGATGACACTCGTTAAATCAAGTGTATGGCATGAAATGCAGCAACGTAGTTAATACGGTGAAAGTTTAACGTACTCATCTCTACTTCTGGCTGAGGCTATGACACTAGGTTAACTAGGTTATCGCGTCTATTTTCTTTGCAATCAGTTGAGGCCAGAATCATCAACACACACTGAGTCAACAGTCATGGGTTTCATGTATTTTATGAAATGCTAGTAATTTCATAAGCACTCTTGATCGTTATGTTTCAAGTAATGTCCGCCTTTTGTGAGAAAATAATTACAGAGGCTGCTTGTATGGTTCTAATGTCAATTAGTATTTTTTCTAAATTTGTGAGCAGGGACTTGTTGAAAGCTGTTAGAAAGCCGGTGTTAGCTACATAAACATTTTTCTTAACGAAAAAAGTTCCCATGGTGTTCCTTTCATCCTCCCCAAACGCCAAGGGACCTAATGCTCCACTAGCATGCCCCTCTTTATATATATTCTGTTTAATAAAAAAATTAAACTCTGGAAAATCTGTAAAATACGGATGCGTTTTTGGGTACAAACTCCGCATGAGGTTTTCAATTCTAACGCGTTCTAATGAAATAGCATATCCTAATTACTGCAAGTTCTATGTTCAAATACAGTTAAATAACTGAAGCAAACTATCAGCGTTAGTAAAGTTTCACTAAGACATAATCTGATAATGTGTCCTTATAGAGCCGTTGATGTTCGGCATATGCGGACTCGTTGCCCTAGCCTTCAAACCTCATAAACATTCGTGTTGAAGGCGCACTAGTGTTTACCTCCATATAAACAGCTTCATCTGTCAAAGTTTATTAAAATTGTGATTAGTTTTACTGAAATATTGACAAAATTTCACATAAAAATTTTGACGCACAACATTAAATCGCTTTTGAATTGAAAATTTGATATGTTGTCGTCACATTTGGAAATCACTTCGTTTACTCCGTCGCTGCTGGCACCGGTGACATCACCATCACCATCACCACGTACAAAGTTCACCCACGCCCAGGCTTGAAATAAACCTAATGGCTACCCCCTCGTTGGGCCAGTTGAGGACAATTGCTCAGCATTATAATAGCTCAATGGAAAGGCCCATCATTCAGATGGAGCGTTTGCCTGCGACGCCACACGAAGCGCTTGTTTTTTAATAATATTAAATAATTGCATGCAAATCAAGCCAATTTTTAACAAATTATAATAAATAAATATTAACATAACATAACATAGTGGTGTCGGCGCTGAAGAGTAGGCCTGATGTGGCCTCTCGCCGATTCTTGTATTTTTCGTGACTTGTCAACAGGAGATTTTTGCCAAGGCGAGAGAGTTGGAACTTGGATAATGCTTTAAGGGGTTTCCTTTAAATGAGCTCCACTTGTACTTGCTGTAATTTCAATATGGAGCGAACCAGTCACCGGTGCACACAATGCAATATTTGGACCATTTTTTTAAGCAAAAATATAGATTTAAGATATATTGTCATTAACATATTCAATTTGACTCGCGTTGAGTTTAGCAATAAATAATATTAACTGAAAATGGATGAACTTCCTCTTCAATGCGTATTTTTAGTCATTCTGAAGCACAGACATGCATTCAAGTGTTCACTCTGGCTCAATATTTCTTCCAGCTGAGCAGGAGGAACCGATTTCAGTTATTTGCCAAGGCCGCTGAGATCAGAAAAAAATAACTCTACTTTCGGTTAAGATTTGCAACTGCATGATGGATTTTAAATTAAAATTTTACCAATTGTACAAATGTCTCATATTCTCAAATTAAAGAAAACCCTCGTGGTTTTTTTGACCATATAATCGTTGCACGAGCTGTGGAACTTGAACTTTACGCCAACAGAAACTCAAACGTCAATGCCATGTTTGACTTGAGCAGCACACTGCATCCTTACAGTAGCGTCTGATCGAACGTCAACATATTCAAATCACGTCAAATCTATGCTATATGCAGCGAGTATTCTAGGCCCTAGAACACTCGCTGCAAATACTCAAGTTCAACGTTCAGTAAAGTTGTCTTCCCTAGAATCTTGGGAACACAACTCTACTGAACGTTGAACTTGAGTGGACACGGCTAGCCTGAGACGCCAATGCGTTTAAGGCGCAATACGCTGACTGGCAGAATTATTTTTTATACGAAAAATTCTGTTCTACGTACTCAAATAGTACGTGATTTGACTTTTGGATCTGAGCAAGAGAATTTGATAAATACCACTGTAGGCTCATAGTAAGAGTCATTAGTTACGGTTTTCAAAAGTATTAACAATCTTGTAAGTCATCTCATAAGCAAAACTTTGCTTATCGCTTTTTTGAAAAAGTTTGGTTTTGGGTTTTTTAGATTAGATCTTATCAGATAACATAACTATCATATTCCCATTAATTTTCATTATTTAGATGAAACGTTTAGTTATGCCCGGAACTTGTTCCCTTAATTCACGTGACAATCCATGAAGTGTTTGCTGATTTTTAATTATGTACTTTAATATTTCGAACGCATAACGCATATATTATTTTTAAACGAAACAGAATTCTAACGGACCTGCAATGAGAGAAGAAAAATATTTAATCAAATCTTGTACGAATCCCAATTTTTCAGTGATTATTATGGTAATTATTTTTAATGTAGTCTATTCGAATAAACTTCATGCTTTGTTCTTTAGAATAATTGAATAGTTTTAGGAAGATATCATACGGAGCTTGTGAAGTACATTTGATGTTGCGCTGTTCGCTAAAAGCGTCGCTAATGAACAAGCGGCGGAGGCGAGACGCCTGTCGCTGCCTGTCGCGTCGCCGGCGTTAGGATGACGCGTCAGCGGCGGGCTCCTCTCCCTCCGACGCTCCAGAACAAACCTGCATGAATCTCTTATCATTATAAACGAGGCCAATAAGATTGTGAGTCAGAAAAACAATGACCAATCATTAGGATACAAGTGTTTCTGCCTAGTATAGCTTATAAAAATCATTACATTCGTCATTTAAATTAGAGTTTTCTTAGTGATTAAATAAAAAAAAATTGATTGTTTTTGGATAGACTTAATACTTTCATTTTCAATGCTTGCATTCAATTAAGAATATTTAGACCTTTATAATTTTACAATAGACATGATTGCTTGAGTCAGCTGATTAGTTATTATTAATCTGTGAGCTGCAAAATTCTCTAGCATAGAAAAATTTGTACGTGTCTCACTTTTTGAATCTGACTGATGTACAGAAAATTTTTTCGCGAATATTTCAAGTTTACTAGCAAGATTTTCTACCAATAATCACATTGCGGGTCTAATATTCCAAGCACGCAACGGCGATAATAATGTCAAACGAATGAGCTTTAATTCCAAAAGCTTTTATACAAGAGTGGGATGAATCCCTATCTGAACCCATATCTTCAAACCAAATCATGTTCTCCTCTTTTACGAGGCTCGGACTGAAGTGTTTTTGATGGACATGAGAATTTAAATCGTCGGAGCGAAAGAGCAAATGCAATGCAGCGACACAGGAAATTGTCTTTATAATTTATGCTGGAACATGAGTTAATTGTGAATTAGCTTCGATAACACGCAAAAAAAACTTTTTTAATATATATTGAGAGAAAAAACTTATTAAAGTTTTTTAATTAATTATCAAAGTAGTACACAGAATGTACTTTCTACCTTAAACGATTGATTTGAAGCAATTTTTTAAAATCGATACCCTTGCCAAATTGCTGGAAGATACTAATTGACTAATGTGTTTCTTAATTGTTAATTGATAAGAAACTTCAGTTTTAATCAGTAGTATCATTTATTAATTATTAATACCTTTCGAATCAAGTTATTGATCTTACATGGGACTATTAAAGGCAAACTGCATCCAGTCAACAATCTAAGCCAGATATTTATCATCAAGCTACAACTTCTCTTTGTACAGGTTCTGAACATATTGAGGCTTGCGTATTTAAAAGCAATTTTTCGCTGGGTGCCGCCACCTAAATGCATTTGTAACTTCGTAATGGATTAATTGTAGAAGTTACTCAGAGTTCGAGGTAGCCGTCTGCCAAAAGAGCCCTCGGCATCTGAATAGAAGAACGCATTATTGAGAAAGTTTATTGCGTAAATTATTTAATAACATTCCGAACTGGATTCCATTGTCGACGCGAAATCTTTATAAGATGAAAGTACTTGCGTTCATACGCTTTCGCAATAAATTTGCTTTAATTAGTTTGTTGTTAATAGTAGCTTTTTATATCATATCAGGTTTTCCTATATTAAACCGAAGGGCTTTTCAATTAATCAAATATAGCTATCTATTATTGCTCAAGAGCTACAAAGTTTGGTGTACGCTAAAGTTGAAGTAGTTTGTGAAGTAGTTACAAAGATTGCTCCTTCAACGTATGATAACCTTGCTTCGTCTTTATACCCGTGTCCCGAAAACTTGTCCCAACTTCTTGCAGCGAAAATCTGGTAATGAATTCAATGTACGTTTATCCTCGTTCAATTTATCTTCACAGACCGGTGATGATACGTGGTCAGGAGTTGATGATGATGGGAGCGATGATGTTTGTCTTGCTGATGGTGTCGTCACCAGTCATTGGAGCTAACTTCCTCGACTACGACGAAGGTAATGATAAAGATAATCTAGTTACAAGTTTAGGAAAATTGTTCGTAAAGGTATCAACTAAGTCAACTAGTTATTAACTGTTTACATTTCCATGTATGGTCATGTATAACACAAACAGCTGCCGAATTTTCCTGTTTCTGTATATGCTCATTTGTAACCCAACTACATGCAGTTACCGAATGTTCACATTTCTGTTCGCGGTCTTATGTCACCTAATATAAAATTTCTGTCTTTTGCCGTTTGTTATCCATAGCCTGGAGCTGATTTTTAAGTCCACTGCAGCAAGCGCAATGGTCACATTTTCCTTTATCAGAGCTCAAAATTTTTTAAATATTAGGATCTTACATGAAATTTTGTTTCGATGTTGCTCATGTGCGAATATTTATCAATATTATTAATATATGTAGCTCATGGTTCCAGGCAAAAAATTTCAGTTATTATGTTTATTATGAACTCCCAAATTCAGAGCCTGACTTCAAAAATACAAATTCTTGAAGGCAGACATTTGAATTAAAAAAAATACAAATACAAAAGATAAATTAACAACGCTGTTATGACATTTCACAACCCCATTCAAATAAATAAAGAGCTGGTACGAATAATTATATTGGAACAAAATACAGTAGACAAATACAGCCCAACTCCTAAGTAGCGGAATCATATTGATAAAAAAAAAAAAAAACGACGAATGCTAACTTGCGATCATATCAATGCTGTATTAAAACCTAAATAAGAATTGACAATTTTTTTTATAATATTCTAAGCTATATCATTAGACTTCATCGATATCCTAATTGGAGGTCATGAGATAACGACTACTGGAGTATAAATCTACTTGCTCTCCTAGTTGTAGCGCCATAGTATAACGATTCAATTACTCTGCCATACGACCACTGGAGTATAAATCTACTTGCTCTCCTAGTTGTAGCGCCATAGCATAACGATTCAATTACTCTACCATACGACTACTGGAGTATAAATCTACTTGCTCTCCTAGTTGTAGCGCCATAGTATAACGATTCAATTACTCTGCCATACGACTACTGGAGTATAAATCTACTTGCTCTCCTAGTTGTAGCGCCATAGCATAACGATTCAATTACTCTACCATACGACTACTGGAGTATAAATCTACTTGCTTTCCTAGTTGTAGCGCCAAAGCATAACGATTCAATTACTCTGCCATTAAGGATCGATGTTGCCTTGGCCAGTCCAGCCGGCGCCCGGGCAGCCGTCCATGAGGCTCCGCTTCGGCAAGCGCGGCTCCAGCCTCTGGGGGCTCACCCAGCGCTCCATGCCGTCGCTCAGGATGAGATTCGGCAAGAGGGACTGGATGCCTTCACAGGTACATAATAATTGCCTTGAATACTATACTTCCATATAATAAATGAAATGCTGATTCAATGATAAAAAATAGTATATTCGTTGTAAGGAGAATGAGTTAATGCTATCAAAGTCTAGTTGAATACGAACAAAAATATATTTATTTGGGGAACATCCTTATCGTGAGGGTAAGTAATTAGGTAAGTATATTGACAAGTAACATCTTCAGGTAAGTAATAAAAACTGATATTATACTACCTAAAAAATAACTGGATAAATTTACGAGCGAACATGCGGATAGCAGGACAAACTTGTGACAAAATTTCTCGCGTATACAATGGATTAACGATATGGGCGATCAATGGATGTAGAATGTGGATCGACGGAGATACACTACAATACACTGCTTGTAAAGTATACTACTTTTTTTTGGTCCGCTTTTTGAAGCGCAAGATAGGTGAAAATCCCATTTTTATGTAAAATGTGCATTTGACAGTCTGTGGAATGGAATAAAATAGTCTACAGATGCATTATTATTCGTAATTTTATCAGGGACTAGGGGAATTACGGGATTTAATTAAAAATATTCTAGTGAAATTCATCCGCGCAATATAATGTGTCCCATTTCCCGAATACTTGGAAACTTGGCATTATGCTCAGCTGCTCTGCTCACACTCACAAGGTTCATACACCCCTGAGCCGTGTTCCCTGCTCACTGCTGAGTTGTCGGGAGGCGAAAATCTGAATATTTAATCATTGCAGTAATCGGGAAATATTCTCGTATTCGATAACAGCTGATAAACAAACAGAAAATCGTTTTCGGGCTTCAATGAATGGTTTCTCTGGTGGATTAATTTTATTTAGGAGAGATAAAATCTCTTATAAGCCCTTCTCTCTACGCACTCAGTCTGCTTGAAGAAATTTATATGTACTATAGGCAATGATTGTCCCACTACCGAAGTGAAATTTCTTAGAATTTATCGTGATATTTAGTGTATCAGTGGTCCAGCAGATTAATCTATTGTTTTTTGTTAAGTCATATTGAGTAGCACTCTGGAGGACTGGACGGGAAAATTTTCCACCAGAGCCTTGGATCAATTTGGAGAACACGGTTTGAACGGAAGAAGCCTTCCCCCGGCACGCGTGGTTATGTCGTCACAAGTGGCATGCGTCGGGATTACTTGAACGCGTATGAATAATGCAGCAGTCTCTCCATCCGTCTTCAAGGGTGCATTGGATCGTGCTTGAGGCGACCACAGATTCTTCTCAAAATTCAATTATCTTTCCCGATCATGAGCGCTAAGAAAAAATTATTTAAAAACCGGGCGAAACTTTCGTTATTATTTAAAAACCTGGCGGAGGATTATTTAAATTTAAAATATGGCATGTCTCATAAGAATTATAGCTAGGCTTTCTGCAATATTTCTCAAATCTTCCACCAATTAAGTTAATTGATGTCTATGTGTATTAGATATTAAAATTTCGTAAATTTTGTTGGTTATATCTGGCTCGTGGCTTCTAAAGTGCACGAAGCGATGCAATCTCCGCATTTATTTCCATTTAAAACTGAAGAGAGTTTGATCAGATGTTTAGAGCAAGTGATGCGTAGGTACTGTGTTGAGTTGTTGCGAGCTTTGTTACCTCGCGGGTTGGAACGTTAGAGAACCGAGTTATTTTCATCTAGAAAAACAAATTTAAAAATAAAGCTGATTCACGAGTTTATTGACAAGCCTAAACAAATAAAATTATCGATAAACGGGGTGAAATAAGATATTGTTTATTCAGTAATGATTCTTTTCTTCAAATCTACGCCAAACTATGCAAATGCCTTGAAATTATAGCCTGTATCGTTTATTATCGATAAACGGAGTAGAATAAGATATTGCTAACTCAGTAACGATTTTCTGCTTCAAATCTACACAGAACTATGCAAATGCCTTGGAATTATGGCCTTTATCGTTCTGTTCCGAAGAAGTTCAAGTTGATCAATTCCATTCAATTCCATTCGGAATTGCGTCATCCATTCGGTCTTCATCTCATAATTTCTCTAATAAAGTGGGAAATTACCTCGTGTTTTAGGAGTAAGAACTGTTTTTACATTAAGCTGTAGGGCACTGCATGAGGCTGCCGTTTAGCGCATGCGTACCGTGTAGCTACATCTGCTGGGAAGCCAATGCAGACGCTAATTACGGAGCCATCTGATCGAGTCTACTTTTGTTTACGTGATTTTAAAATGCCTCCACGTGTTAAAAATCCCTCCCACTGCGAAGTGCGTACGTATCTCTGTGCTATAGGCTTCAAAGCAGATGACATTCATCACCAAATAAGTGAAGTGTATAGTGAGAACATCATGAGTGATGGAATGATACGGCGATTTGTTGGACTTTAAAGATGGCTGCTTAAACATTCAAAATGAGGTATGAAGTGGGAGACCTTCAGTCATGACCGATGATCATATTTCAAAAAGTTGGCTGTAAATTTAAAGACAACAGACGATTAAGTATCTCGTCCTAAGGTGAGAAGTGTTTTGTTTTCTCAAGGAAGTGATGATGACGAAGTTGTCTCCAAGCAATCTAATAATCGGCAACTGTGTTTCCGCTGTGTGCAGAAGTGAAAACGACTGTGATTGTCTAATCTGGCGGCAAGTTTCTTTGACGATGGCTTACAAAAGCTTTTACCAAAAGGCAATAAATGTCTTAAAATTAATGGGAATTGTGATATAGACAGGGTAAGTATATGAGCTTTGAAGTATATAAAATTTTTTTAGAAAAATTACTTGTTTTTTATGTTAAAATGGCACTTACTCAAGAAACATGCCTACCAGCAAGTTGTGTGCTACGAATATTGTCAAGAAATTTATTGTTGTAGCTTTTATTTAGAGATAACGAAATAGCTAGAAATTAAAATACTTCATAATAAAATTCAACAATACAACCAGCCGGTAGCCTTTCCCATTCTGAAGCTGGTGCGGGACAAAAAGTAAGCGTTATTGATGGGATTTTTTGCAAGCATATTTAATTTGTAGAAATAATTTGGCCCCTGTATAGAAGACCATTTGAGCGCGTTTCCTCATTACACAACAGCATCGGGATACTCGCACAAATTTCGCGCTTGAAATACAGGGGATACGCTTGAAATTTTTCCAATAAGGAAAGACTGAACCATCAAAGAAGAGGGCGAATAAAAATAATGAACCTCAAGATAATTTGAAATCCATTATAATTTATTTCTCCCATATATTCATTATACTTCAGGAAATTATAAATTTCATTTTGAATTTCAAAACATGATTTGAATAATAGTTTCAATTCAATTTTGAAACTTTTTTTCGAACTCAGCAGCGCGATGTGGAAATATCAGGATTATCTTTACCCAGAAGTGCAGCGTGCCCTAGTATCGTGGATACCATCGTCTCTGTTTCACCAGCTCCTCGTGGATGCAATCGTGATTGCATAACACGTGGATGCATGCATTCGTGGCGTCGCCCATGAAAGATATATTATTTCTTATGATTTAGGAACGAGCGTCGAATGTTAGTTGTTAATTTTTTATTAAGATAATTTTTTGTAATTATCATATTGTTTTTAATGATCGTTCAGGCTGCCGGAAAATTAATCGATCATCCGAATGTTTATTTTAGCATAGAGTTTTTATTCTCACGCAGTTGTAAATATAAATAAGGAAATCGAAATATTGTCTGGGTGATCTAGATCTCATTTGCACTTACAACGCTCTTCTACTTAGACTGAGAGTTTGACGATCATTATTCTCATCATGCATAACCATGGTGCAAGTACCGGTTACCGAGTGCGACATCGGGTTAACATGCTGGGTGAAATTGATATTGTAACCTACAGAATCTATGATTGTTAACATGATAAAAAGTTAATATTTGCACCCAAATAAACAAACTATCAACGACGTCGGGTTTTATGGGTGCATGGGCATACCACAAACATTTCCCGGTATATGTGCGTAGATTATGTTGATCAGAGAGCAGCGGGCAATATCTGGGCTTCATATATTTAGATTGCAGAGGATAATGAAGTCGCAACTCATCAGCGCTGGGAATTAAATTTCACAGCTCGCTGGGCTGACCTTCGAGCACGTTTAGGACTGAGTCTAATGGCTGAATAATAAATTTCTCATTAACGATTTAAACGCTTATTTATATTACGAATAAATTACACTCAGCTACCTTTAAAATTTTTATTATTGTCGATGCAGTCAGTGAATTGATCGAACCTTATTCCTTAGCTTAAATTATGATGAACTTGTTATTTTTTGCATTAATGGTGGTCACTGATCAAATGTTCAAATGCACGAAGTAATACTCAAATATAATATTTATCTTTATTTGCTCACTTGTATGCAGAAATGTAATCGACAATCTTCCTCTTACCCGGCAAACGTTTCATTTTGTAAAGAAAGCAAGCCGTTTGAAATGAGTGGCATTAAACGGAAACTTTTCCTTGGTCCGTGTATTTTTCTTCATTTTAAAAGTAATAAGTTATTTGGATCCGTATTTCCGTCTCATTAACCCGTTAGATCATTTGAAAATTGTTTACATTCTCAAAGAGTACTTTCGTTCATTCTAAATTCATAAAGTTAACAGCTTCTCGTGTGCATTAATAAAAATATTGGTCGATCCTGTTAAAACAATAACTGACTATCGTGTTAATCCGACGATCCTGTTAAAACAATAACTGATTGCTCAAGGTAATTACAATACACCATTTCTTATATCTGCCTTCATACCACAAGTTTCGTACTCGCATGAAGCAGTTCGTGGCTTTAATTATATAACCAAGGAAAAACTCTTCAAGAGATGGCGCCTCTGGCTCCACTTTAAAGTTAGCGTCTGCGTCAGAACGAGTCGCTCTTCAGCCGCGGTCATTTGCCCTCCGTAGTGAGACAAAATAATCAATGGAACTTGAATAAGATTCTTTACTTATAGCAGTCTTCCGTGTCATCGTTTTGGGGACAAGCACGTTGCTTAAGTTAGTGTATACATTTTGATAG